ATTATAAATATAAATTAGTTGCCATGCATACAAATTAGGATCATGTAGATGTGGGGATGCTGCAGAATATGAAAAATGATCATAAATCATTTTCAGTGCCATTGTAATTTCAAACAGTCACTAAATAAATGAATGTAAGGACTATCTGTATATAAATCAAGCTATCTCAGTTGAATCTATGGGTCATCTAACCCATCATTTAGAGCTATTTTTATATAAAATAAGAAACCTCTCTTATAAGCTATTCTATGTTTCTTGGAAATGAATGGTATATGACTGAAAAATATAAGAAAATAAATATTAAGCAAATGTAAAGATAATTGCAGTTTTATAAAATCTATTTTATAAAACACACTAGGGAACTTTTAACTCTCTTAACTTTGCTAAAGTACAACTGCCAGTATTCACTATTTGAAAGTGCTGACTGAGGCTCTTGACTGAGGAAATTTTCTTTACTTATTTTAAGTTCATGAATCTAGATAGCTGTTTCAGTAACACATAAGTGGAGATACTGATTAGGCAGAAAAGAAACATTATTTAAAGAAAGCTATAGCAAATAAAGCAAAAAAGAAATCAATATACATATTGGGTCATAAAACCCAATCAAAAATGTATGTGGGGGGGAAAAACATTATTCCAATCCCTTCAGTACCAGAAATTCAGATTTTCATAATGTGACTACAGTAGTCTCAAAGGTGCTTTTTCAAGAGGCAATTGGACTTTCTTCTTCTTCTTTTGTCTTTCTTTGAAGATGTTTCGCTTCTCATCCAAGAAGCTTCTTCAATTCTAACTGGATGGTGGGGAATGGAAGGATTTATATTCCTTGCAGACAGTTGGTCACTTGCCTTCTTTTAGAGAATCATTGAGGCCACTTGGAGGTTTATCTGTGTTGTCAGGGTGACCTAAGTATAAGGTGACCAGACGTCCTGATTTCGGCAGGACAGTCACGATTTATAACAATTTGTCCCATGTCCCGGGGCGTTTAAAAAAGTCCCGATTTTCTAGCTTCATGTTGAAAGCCCAGTGGATTTGCTTAAGAAATCCTAACCGGGCAAGACAAAAGACACTCTGTCTAAACCCCCTCTCTGTCTCAATACTTTCATTGAAGATATTAAAACGTTAAAGCAAGAAAACGGACACCCCCCGTGCCCCTTTTACCTCATTTTATAAGAAAATTGACCCAGTACCATAGAGCTCCAGGAAATACTTGGCTAGAGAAGTCGCGAGTGTTCCTTCCTGGATTTTCTGGAGGGGAGGGGCACAGAGGTTGGAGGTCAGCTCATGTGGAAAAAATAGTGGCAAAGTTTCTTTGAAAAATATTTCCCTAACTAATTTCACCATTTTAATTTGCTCAGTTCTTTGTATTATCATCTACATCATTCTGGATTGACTTGGAGTGCTCACTTGTGCCTGCTGGTAAGTGAGCTGGGTTTTTTTCTTTTCTTTTTTTAATGTATTTTAAAATAATATTTTATTTATTGTGCATAGGATTTTTTAAAATAGTTTTATTCTGTGTGGACTTTTTAAAAATTGTCTTAGACTATTTAAAAAAGATTCTATCCAAAATAAATTGAAGTGAAACCATTTTTAAAAATTCTATGCACAATACTTTGAAATATATTGTGCATAGAATTTTTAAAAATAATTTTACTTAAATTTATTCTGTGTGGAATAGTTTGAAATGTTTTACTTCAATTTATTCTGTGTGGATACTTTTTTAAAATTGTCTATCCAAAATACATAATACCAGCTGCAGTTATTCACTTAAGAACTGTGGTAAGAAAGGTGGTATAATGGGCTGTGACCAAAGTTACAATGGCATTGAAAAAAGTGATGACCATTTTTCACACTTAGCGACCATTTTCACACTTAGCGACCGTTGCAGCATCCTCATGGTCACATAATCAAAATTTTGATGTTTGGCAACAGTTACAATTTATATTTGTAAATTGTAGTTATGTTGAAATAAAAAAACATTACAATACTATTTTTGCGTTGTATGAAAATTTTTGTTGCTCCGTATAAAATTTTTAATCAAGCCCCTCCCCCCTCCGGTCAAATGTGTCCCTCTTTACCAATCTGAAAATCTGGTCACCTTACCTAAGTAGTGCCAGTGGGTGTGATATGCATGTTGTATAAGTATGCACTTTGCATAGTTTTAGTTAGTTTTTGACTCCTAGTGACTCCCTGCATTTTTTTCCTATTTAAAAAAATATTTGTAACTATGATTTGAGATTTAGGAAAGGAATTGTAGAGATTTGTTCATAGCTCCATGACTTAACAGCATTGTTTGATAGGGTCAAATGTCTTTCACATTTATTATATAGTGTTTTGCTTTTTTAAAAAAAGATTGTAGTAGCCAAGCCATGATTTATTAATATTTCTAGTTGCACAAAGAAGTTTCTGGGCTCATCTATATAGTGCAGGACATGGTTTCAAACAGGCATAACACTATCAAAGGAATTGCAATCTACTTCTATTACACAGAAATTAAATTACTTAAAGTTTTCTAAGGTTAGCCCTCATCGTAGTCTCTGCCATTACTATGAGCTCAGTCAAACATCCACATTAACATGCTATCCTCCGGTGTGAGTTAGCAGAAAAACATACTACCACAAATCATAATGGCCCCTACTGCTGCACCTTATTCCATCTCAGGAACTACATCAGCAGGTGGTATTCTTCTTAGTTTTAATGTGGGATATATTAAGGAAAACAATTTGGGAATTATCCTGGCTTAGGTTTTCCTCCCACTGAGCATTATTGGCAACAGGAGAGCACCACTACTCAGTCACCCTAACTTGCATTGGGGCCGAGTTGGACAAGTGTAGTTGGCACCTGGAATGGAGGGGGTAGCCATCTTTAAGAGGTCTTCTATGTCACTTATTCAGGCTATGTGGTGTCATCAGTTTAGCACCAGTCTTTGAAAACAGTACTAGATATCTTGGTCAGAGTTATAGATGAGGGTTATTAAGTTATAAAGATTTTTGGGAGTGCTCCCTCTTTGTTCACCCAACGCCTTTGTTTTTTCCCTGTGACGCATTATTCCATTAAAGAGGTATGCAAGTAAATGATAATGCTTGATGCTACAAAGAAATAACAAGAAGGGCACCCAGTGGTTATGGCTGGCAACATCCAGAGGTAACTCTGAAAGAGACAAAATGGTACTTTCCTGATACATACAGTAAAAAAAGTACTGCCAGGCAAAACATTTTATCAGGCAGAAACAGTGAAAACTTGAAATGTACCCCACTGGTTGTGGAACGAGCAACACATAGCAGCCAGAACTTTCCCAGTTTAAATTGAGTTTCCATGCCATACAGAACTAGCTTCTTTCAAGAGAAGAAACTCCTGTTTTGAGTCTAATGCAAAACTATTAAACCTAGTTGTTGCTTTTTAAAAATGATTCTAATATTGTGTCTTAATCTATAGTCGTAAGGTTCATGTGTAAGAACTGGCAAGTATTTTGGAAAGCAATAGCTACTGCCTGTCTCCACAGATGTCCAATAGCCATGGGTGGAAGTGCCTAGTGACCTGAAAGAGTGGAGTAAGGCCAAAGAAGCCAAAGGTGACCAAACAGAGCTGAGTAGATTCCAGCTTCTGACTGCAATATCAGCCACTATTCCCAATGAAGCATGTTCATGGGAAAAATATGTTGGAGAAGAAAACCATTCCTTTCATTCTGGAATACTGACGATGAAGTTTCCTCAGCTGTGGGCTACAGATGATTTTTTTAAAGATTGTATCATGAGGGAAGGTCATTTAAAACTATTTTCAAGGTATGTCTGTACCTCTGTTAGGGAAACATAATAATGAGCCCTCTATTTCAGTTATATGATATTACAGATATATAGCAAGCAGTTATATGAACATTAAATTGAGAAAGTTTATCACTATTTCTGCTATTACCATAACTCTGTGCCTTAAAATGGATGTCGGTATTTTATTTTTTTCTCCTAGTAGAAAAACAGTAAAAAACGGATTGGGTTTTATTTCAATAAGAGAATTTACTTCTACATAGCTATTAAAGAAGTCCACAGTCCAGTTAATCTTTATGGACAATTGCTTAATCTAAGGAAATAGACTCAAAGATTTTGGACTTAATGCAATTAGATATTTCAATCTTCAAATCTAATACAAACAAATTGGTACAAATTTTAAACATAGTTATGTTACACACACACACACACACACACTTCATTTTTCTCTTAAATGGATACAGATATCTCACAACTCTGAGATAAACAGAGATAACTGGCTGCATTCATTCTATGGTTGTTTGAAAAACACCTGGCTAGAAAGTAGCCAACCAGATTTTAAACTGCGATACTGTGTGAAACAAAGCTGTGTAGTTACTTTTCAATATGTGATACGAATGTAGCAAAGTTTGCCAATTAAAGAAATCATGATCAGTGAAGCATAAATATGTTGTGGAAACACAGGCAATGTTCATGGGAATCTAAATCTGAGATTCACATGCACCATCAAAGGTCTTTAATGTAGTACTGTCCTAAAATAACAGATTTTTAAAGACATTATTTCAACAAATATTTGTGGGGAGGATTTCCTTATCAATTATTTCTATATTTTGGGAGCCACAATCCCAGAAAGACTTGGTTATAGATAATTGGAAATAATCACATATTGGTTAGAGCAGTGGTCTCCAACCTTGGCAACTTTAAGACCTGTGGACTTCAACTCCCAGAGTTCCTCAGCCAGCTTTGCTGGCTGAGGAACTCTGGGAGTTGAAGTCCACAAGTCTTAAAGTTGCCAAGGTTGGAGACCACTGGGTTAGAGTACTACTTATAAAACCGGATGGCATAGAACAATTTCATCAGATTATTTTCTAAGTGGGTGTTTTGTGTCCACACCCACCATGAGAACCATATTTTAAACAGACAAGCTGTAGGTCTAAGTGAATACAGTACTGTGCACTTTTTCTATAAGGGCCATTTTTGGAGGGATATGGGCAGTTCAAAAATGTGAAAAAAAACCAGAATCTGATGGAAAGGGAAGGAAAAGAAGAATGGCAAAATATTAAGGCCTTCAAAGTAACCCTATGAAATTGCTTTGATCTCACCTACAATTCATTAATAAAGTATCAACGATAGATTTTACATAGGTATTTAAGCTCTTTAAAACATATTCTTAACATTTTTGTGCAAATTTGAGTTCTTTTAAAATGTATTTTAATGCACAACCATATAGACATAAATCATATTTCAGGGTCTCAACACAATGGATTTTTAACATTTTACCAATAAACAATTGTAATCTGTCTGACATGTAAATCTGTACAAGCAAACAAGCTTTCTCTTTTAACTCCTCTCTTTCAACTCATTGTAATTTTAATCCCACATAGGCTAATCACTCAGATATATAGATGAAGTAACAACTCACAAAAGAGTATGCTTTCTAATAAAACGTTTCAGAAAAGGTCCTACCAACTCTTGATTTTTCACCACAATGATCTTCCACAAAGGAAACCAATAATGCTCAAATATTAAAGTATTAAAAATTAACAAATATAAGTAATATACGAACTTCTTGATTCTATTAAACAATGCAAGATGTCAGATTAGTAAAAAAAATATTAGGTATTTTTTTCCTATTCAAGTTCCTGAACCCTAGGGGTTATAATCCCCAAATTAACAATCCCTGCTTTAAATTTTTTATCTCGCGAGTGTTTTAAGGTAATTCTGTAATGCTTTCTCACCTATTATTTTGGAGGTGGCGACTAGATGACATTTTATAGATGTGATCACCAGTCGCTCTTTGGGTTAATAAGTCCTCTGTTTTCTCGGCTGCCATTTCTCTCCCCGCGTTTCTCCTCTCCATTACTATTTTGTCTGCTAAATTCCTTTCATACACATCACTTCCTGCTTTCCGTTTTTCACACCAAACTCTGGGAAAATTTCCCCAGATCTGCTAAGGAGAAATTTAACTGTACAGATAATGTAACACTGCTGATCCTTGTGACAGAGATGAACAGATTACAATTTACGGAATGGCGCTGAATTCTATAGTATGTAGAAGTTAAATAGCCTTTTATTTTCGGCAGGTTTTGTAGAGATATCGCATTCCGGGCGGGAAACACAGTCTATATATCAATTTCTTTTCCTAATTGCGGGGAAGACTGGATCCAATACATGTTTTAGCGCAGAGCAATAATTAAACTACAATCCCCACAGTCCCCCAGGAAGTTTCTGCCATGACGTCTCAGCGACAATCCAGTCGAGCGTGAGCATGTTTTCTTTGCAATGCGCATGCGCTTTTGCAAGAAACCTTTGGAGTTCAGAATGATGCGGAGGGAGATAGGTTGCGACTGAGCAGAACTCCGCGGTGTCTCCTTTCTTCCCTGCTCTAAACATGTCTCTAAGAAATCGCTCCGCCTCAGGTCAGTGAGAGCCCTATTTCTCTCAGGGCTGTCATGGCGCTATTCCTGCTTTTCCGAATGGAACTTGCCAACATTTCGGGAAGAGATTACAATCGCTAGTCGAGGAAATCGTGGGCCCATTCGGCCAGATGTTGCCCTCTTTCCCTAGGCTTCCTCTGACCCTTGCTCCGCGCAGGAAGAGGATCCCCTTCCTCCAACCGCACCGAGGGCCGGGCGAGAGCTGAGTGGTTGAGCGCGCGGGGCGGACCTTGGCTCAGCCCCTTCCTCGGATTCCCGCTGGGAAGTGAAGGGCGGGCGGGGCGAAGCGGCGGTGTCTTGCCGGGAGTGAGGGTGGCGCGTCTACCGGGGACTGCATTAACTAGGAAGACATCCTGAGTGTGGCTCGCCTTGCTTGTAGAAAGATGGTGCGTCAGAAGAGTCTCGCAGGAGGAGGTCAAAAGCCATCTCCCAAAATGGCCAACCCGATGCCTCATGGAGACGGTCATAAGCCAGGTGATTCAGAGCTTATACCGCCTTGAGTCCTGGAGCAGCATCGTGGTTAGTAGCCACAGTTGGCTTTGCCGATTTCCGTCCTGAGTTTGCATGTCGGTTTCCGATGCTGCTGCGCCCATCCACTCTCTTCTCTGTAGAAATTAAGAAAAGTTCCTCCCCTCCCTGCCGTCTCCCCATGTAATCAAGATACTATTGAAGATAGTTTATGTGTTCATGTGTTCCTGTAAACAAGTTAGAAATGCATATACCATCTTCACCTGACGGGATGGGCTGAGGCTCATTGTTCAGTCCACTCTTGGTAGCAATTGTGCCGTAAGAAATAAGGCCTTTTTGAATAAGATCACTGGATACATTTTGTATTCAGTGATCTGTGTATGTGTGTACCCCCTTTCATGTCATGCGTCATTTGGAACTGAATCTACCGTAGGACCAGGAAGTAAACAATAATCCAGCCCATCCTATAACATTGGGTATAAATTGGGATACACTCAAGATATTTTTGCTACAGCAGTTTTATTTGGTGTGTTTAATTTATCTTGGAATTTATTTTTCTGTTAACTGCTGGGACTCTGGGAGATTGTGATAGAAAGCAAAGTAAATTAAAAAATATAATGGCGTTTATCCAAATATGTTCTTTTCCTGAGGGATGTTTCTATCTCTCAGGAGGAAGGAAGATACATGGTCCAAATTGTTTTTACTGTTGCTTCTTTGCTTAGGAGGAAACTCACAATTGGTGCCAAATACCTGGCACTGTTAGTCTCTAATTCAAATTAGACTGTGGTTCTGTTCACAAGAGACACTTACTAAATTTAAAAAAAAATTATTCAGCTAACCCAGTTTTATGAATTAATTGCAATATGTTCAGCCAAACTAGACAAACATGTTTTGTGTACTGATCAAGCTCAGCCTTTTTAATTATTAGGCTATTTTATAAGATGCCATTTTACTCAATTTGTAAATAGTTAAATAATAATCTACTGCCTTTTGACTATTCCACCACTCAACCTGGAATGTTAGTTTTGCAAAATGTTGAACTTGAGAATAGTGCCACTTAAATTTCAAATTTCTTAAATTATGATTGTATTGTATTTATAATTCTAAATTTAATTTTATTTTATTTTTCATTGTACGCTTAAAGAATTATCATTAACGACCACTGAAAAGATATTTTTAAAATCTGATTGCAACAGGTGTATATATATATGTATATATGTATACATATATATATATATCTTGCAACACATTCTAATATGTGGTGACCATATTATTTTTTCTTCATGTGTGTAAATATACTTTTATTGTTCTTTCATTCCTATGTCATAAAAGCTATGTCAATGCATGTAATTTTAAAGGAGTTAACAGATGTGGCATTCAAGATCATGGACTTCTAATGGCTATAATGTATGAGGAACTTTAGGAGTTTTCCTGGGTTCAGTTTATATTAGTTCCTGTTAAGACTATAGTCTTTCGTCAAGAAGAAAGAAGTCAATTCAAACTAAAGGAGGGTTGTAATCTGTCACCCACCCATAGAACTTAACAATAAAATGTATTTTGTGCATCTCTGGCTTAGAAACTTGCAAACCACATCACCATTAATTAAAAATTATTTTAGTTATGGTAAATATAGTTTTCTGTTCTAATGATTCATGAAAATATGGCTAGAATGTAATTCCAGATCCATTTATATAATAATACATTCTTTCCTAACAGCTAATGGAAACTTGGTTGATTGGTTATGTAAAAACAATAGTCTTTTTAAAATTTTATTCTTTATTTTTAGAAGTTTACAAAATATAGATAGACTATTAAAATACACACTAAAAGCAGCATTTAATTAATTCAAGGTATAAGAATTTTAAAAAAATAGTGAAAAGTAAAATATTAAAAGGACACCATTCCAGCCATCCTTAAAACCCATAAACAAAATTTAACCAATAACAGTATTAGAGTTTGTTGAAAATAAAAGTCTAGCATATATGTAAAACTCAGTGTCACTAATTTCCAAATATACCATATAATACTATATAATAATTGTGACAAATATACCCAAAGCTAATCATAAAATTTATGCCAAAGAACATATTTCTTCATCCTTTGATTAGTAGGACATAGTGATGTTTTATTAAGTACTAAACATACTTTTCCAATTCTAACATTTCCAACACCCAGTCCTTACTGTCTGGAATAATTGGAATATTACTTTTCCAATTTCTCTACATCATTCTTCTTCCCAACCCCAACCCATAACTAGTACAACCATAATTCCTTAATTAAATTCCAGACTCTTGGTAAATAAGTCAACATGACATCTTTAATGTTGAGATAGTTTCCCATAAATCTATTAGTGTCTATTAAAATACTACTCCAGAAATGTAGTGCCTAAACATTTCATATAGTTTAATGAGTCCTCACACTTTTTAAAAATCTCCAATAGAAAAAAAAACATTGCTTGGAGAATCCAATATTCTTTAAATCGATGGATTTTGATGAATCAAATTTAATTTCAGGTCTGTAAATGCCATCTTAAAGAATATAATACAGGTAGTCCTTGTTTAACAACCCCAGTTGGGATCAGCCACTTGGTCATTAAATGAAGCAATCACTAAGTGAAAAATTATTGATACTATGCTTACAATCTTCAGCTTTAGTTTGTTCTGCATTCCTGTAAAGATGGTAAATGCAGGCATTGGTTACAAAATTACTAAGTAAGGTCTACCAATATAGTAATATATTGGGAGCATTTATGGTGATTTCAAATGTAGAGTTGATTGATGTATTCTTTTTTTTTTAATAAATATTTTTTTAATTTTAATTAAAACAAGTACAGCATCTTTCTTTACATCTGTAGAAAATGTATCAATCGATTATAGATCCTCCACAATCAACAAACAACTCATTACCTCAAGCATTATTATATATCCATTTTCATTTAACTGTACTTATTATTTAAAAATGTTAATACAAATAATAATCTTGAACAATACCTGCCCACACCAGTGGGGAAAAAAAGACAAAACAAAAAGAAGAGGCAAGAAAAAATAAAACAAAAAAAGACAAAAACTACAAAGGACAAGGCAGGAAAGGAAAACAAAACACAGGTATCTATTATAAAAAAAAAGAAGTATATCAGCTGGTTACCACATGCTTTGGTGCTTCTCTTCCATTAACTCATATTAATTCAAATATCTTGACTCAAATGTTTACCATATTAACATCATTATACCTTCAGTTTTAATTACCTATAGTTATTTAAACATCCTTCATCCTTAACTATGCAAAAGAGTTAATCCATAGCACATGCTGACCTTTCATTTACTTGCTTGTAAAATCCTCTATTAGCAACAAATCCTCATATCCTATTTTAGCTGAACATCCATAATATTTAATTATATCATATATCATAACATTTTCCCAATATTGATTAACATTTGATTGTATGTATTTTATTTAGTTTTTATAATAGTAATAATTGTTGT